TATAATATAAAAAAAAAATACTTCAAAGTTGGAAGATACCAAATTCTTTTATTAATGAAAAAATTGAATAAATATTAATATTTTTAAAATAACATTAGAATGTATGAAATAGAAAGAAAATTAAAGACCAAAAACTTCTATTAAAATAAAAATAAAATTTTATTTTATTATAAAAAAAATGATTTTTTGAATTTTACATTAAAACTATCTGAAAAACCACCTTTGTAACCTAAGAAATTCTTTTTTCTATATGTTGGGGAAAAAAAAATTATTAATATTGATTAAACCTGATAATACATTTGAATTACTTAATTTAGTTGCTTTGTTGTATAAAGAAACAAGTGAACTAACTTAAAATGAAGTGCGATATGGTTACACAAATATCAATAATTTTCTTGAAACTTTGCACATATATCCATCCACTTTGTGAATACATTTTGGATATTATATATAATATATGCACTAATTAATAATTACAAATACACTCAACTCTCTTTATAACGAACCTCTATATAACGAAATCTGGATATAACGAACTTTTTTTTTTAACAGAAGCACCAGTTCGTTATAAAAAGAGTTGACTGTATATGTGTATATGTAACCATTTTGCCGTGGTCAAAAGATTTTTGGCCGTTTGGCCATGGCCAAATGGACAAAATGGCAACACTTAAATAATAAACATAAGCAGGAAATAAATATCAATATTTATTATAATAGAATATAATCGATTTTGATATTAAACATTCCAAATAATCGTCGCTTTCATTGTAATATCTTTCTTTTTCCAAAGTCTCACATTTCAATAACAAGCTTCTCAATAATAATAATAAAATTTTTCGTGTTTCCAACATCCTAAGATTCATATAAAATTTTCGCATTATTTAAAGCACAAATTATTGAACTTTTAAAAGTCTCGGTTCTTTAATTGGGAAAAATGCCTCGCGTTTCAAAACAAGTCCGTCATTTGAAAAAGCACGCGAGATACGAGCCCAAAAAGGAGGATTTGTAAATGGAATATTAAAAATTCTTTGAATTTACCGGTGGTTAAAAAATATTAGTAAAAATCTATAATATAAATAAATGATAGGGATACATATAGGATTGATGAAATCAATATACGAAAACTGCTGTTTATTCCGTATAATAAACTGAGAGTACAACTTAATTGCATTTAAGAATGAACCTATTTTTATAAAGTTCCAAAGTTTTCAAATCCTTTAAATCAAGCAAGCAAATTTAGGAATTCTAGAGTCGAAGGAATGCCAAGTTCTCAACGGTCATTTAAAATCATTCTGTATATTATTATATTTAAGTCAAAGTGATGCATAACCATAAAAGTTCATAAGTAACCTTTCCGTCCAATTTTATCTGGGCGATGGAAATGTTTTCGCAGCAATAGATATATAACTTTGTTATATTTTTCCTCACAGGAGAAAAAAATGGGATGTATTATTATGTGAAATTCTCGTCAAATAATATAATACGCATTCATAGTAAAAGCTGAAAATTTATACGGTAGATATGATTCAAATTTCGGTCAAGTATTTCTTTTTTTAAAAATGTAATTCGCATGACAAGTTAGAATATCGTATTTCAGGCAGCCAATCAAAGTTTCATCAAATTTCATACATGTTCTTGTCTTCTTAGGTGGCAAAAGCCGATGGATCTTCGATCCTCCCGGTATCTAAGTTGCCACCGACTATGGTTTACCCATTTACCCTTCGTTTTAACTGCAACCCTTCTTTTTTTGTACTCTTGAAAAAAAGAGAAAAAGAGTGATCCAGAAGAAATCCGAAGGTTGCGGTTTCCTGCGGGTATTCTTTTCTTTTTTAAAAAATAAAAATTCTCCTATATCTCCTCAGCCATTGGAGTGGCTGGGTCAACTCTGCAAAAGTTTCAAATTTTAGCCGAATGGGATTCTGACAACTTTTATTTCTGATGAAAATAATAAATTATAGATGTTAATTTCAGACGGCTGAGTCGACTGATAAGAGACTGAGCCAACTCCAGATGTACCTGTGGAGGCTTAAGACCTGGTCTCTTGCAATGATCAGGCTAAGGACAGGGCTAAATAAGAGGCTTGATGTGAAAAAGAAGAAAAAGATTTTTTTTCATTCAGCCTATATTAAATCTTTATATGAGTAGGCTTTAATTGAAAACAGGAAAATATTACAAAAAAACGCAAATCAAAAAATGATTCTTGGTATAATTCGGATGTATTATGAAGTAAATCGTCATCAGGTCAATATTTATTTGGTAATACAATAACATACATTAATGGAGATATATTACGTACCTTTTTTGTTTTTGAATTCCCAGCGTTTGAGATCGACACGACACTTTTTTGACCATTAAAAAAAATATAAATATGCCCTTAGAGAAAGGAATTCGATTTAACCCTTTTTGAATTGATTAAGCAATTCCTCCTTTAAAAGGTATTGATAATTCTTTATCCATTTTCTTTTCCATTTTTCATTTTTTCCCTTTTTCTTTTGGTTAAAATAATATTTTTTTTTCATTTGCCAATTTTTTATGATTTGAAGCTTTCTTTTAATTAAAAGATTTTTCTTTTCCTCTCTTATTGTCATTAGACTTATTTAATATTTAGCGGATTATTTTTCTTTCAAAAAAATTCTCATTAACTTAATAATTACGATTAGATTAGTCTTTCTACATGTTATAATGAAATCTTTTATAAACACGAGCATATGGGTTTGTGCGCTACTGTCGATTATGGCGCAGTTACATCGAATGGTCTGTGGCGCAGAATCGCCAAGGACTACAGATGAATATAATGCAAGTACAAATTTCAAAAAATTTTTTTTTTTACATTAGCCTTATCCCAAATTATATGATTCTAGGTTGGAATTGGAATAGCGGATGTGACAGGAACAGCAGGTGACCCATCCTACCCCTTGGTCACTAATCACTCGCACAACATACTAACTCATATTTTGACGTTTAGCTGGAGTTAATATGATGGGTTATGCGATGCCATCGCAAATAGCAAAAGGAATACATATAAGGCAGAGATCGAGAGCGTTCATAGTAATCGATCCAAGTACGGATAAAAGGGTTGCATTCGTTTCTGTGGATATTAATATGGGAACGACGGCCGTTAGAACCGCGACTTTAAAAAAATTAAAAGCGACTTTTGGAAATTTGTATAATGAAGAAAATGGTAATTCGTCAGAGGGGGAACATTAAAGAATTTTTTTTTCGTGAAGATATAATTAACCTCCCCCTTTTTTTGTGTTAAATAAAAAATAAATGTCTTAGTGGCTATATCGGGAACGCATACACATGCTGGCCCAGCTGGATTTTTACAATATGCAGTAAGCAATTTGTTTATTCAATTCAATTTCTTTCTTTAACAAATAATACATGCAATCTATATGTTCTCTTCAAATTAGTTGTATCAAATAACATCATTCGGATACGTGAAGGAGAATACGGAAGCAATATCAACCGGAATATTTAATTCAATAGTAAAAGCGCATAATTCAATACAGCCAGGATCCATTTACGTATCAAGTGGAGAATTATTAGATGTGAATGTTAATAGATCCCCATTTTCTTATGAGCACAATCCCAAAGAAGAGAGGTCAGAATATAAATATGACGTCGATAAAGAAATGATTTTATTGAAATTTACTAATTCCAACGGTGACGTTATTGGGAGTTTGAATTGGTTTCCCGTACACCCCGTATCGATGATGAATAATAATTCATTAATATCGGGTGATAATAAAGGTGCCGCATCATATTTCTTGGAGAGAGAATATAATGGAAATAACACTTTGCCTGGTGAAGAGACCATAGTACACGCATTTTCCAATAGCAACTTAGGGGATTCTTCGCCAAACATCTTCGGACCTTATTGTGCTGATACGGGAAAACCTTGTGATTATAAAACAAGTACATGTAACGGTAAAAAGGATAATTGTTTCGGAAGAGGATATGGATATTTGACAGGCGATGATATTTACGCAACTAAAGTTATAGCAGAATTACACGTTTCTAAAGCAAAAGAATTGATAAGATCGGCGACAACCCCCGTCAATGGATCGATTGATTATAAATACACAAGAATTGACATGCATAATTATAAATTCACACGTAATAAAACAGAATTTTCATTATGTAAAGCAGCCATTGGATATAGTATGGTCGCGGGTACAACGGATGGACCGGGTGGATTTAACTTTATACAAGGTGATAATAGTACCGGAAATCCATTTTGGAACATGATTAGATGGTTTATAAAAGAGCCCACCAAAGAGACAATTGAATGTCAAAAACCTAAACCGATTGTGCTGGCTACGGGTGAAATGACCTTACCTTATGATTTTACTCCTTCAATTATTGACATGCAATTACTTAAAATTGGTAATATTATAATTTGTGTCGTACCTGGTGAATTTACTACCATGAGCGGCAGAAGATTAAAAAAGACTGTCAAGAAAGTGCTTGTGGAAAAAGGAATAATTGATGATAGAGGAATTGTAATTATTAGTGGTCCTTCAAATACTTATACTCATTATATCACCACACCTGAAGAGTACACCGTGCAAAGATATGAAGGTGCTTCAACGATCTACGGACCAAATACGTTAAACGCTTATCTTCAAATCTATCAGGATTTAGCTAATTCGTTGGCTGATAATATCACTTTACCAAAAGGTCCCGCGACTCCTGATTTTACCGATAAAGCTAAAAGTTTGTTACTTCCTATCATTGTTGATATCCCTCCTTTATTCAAGAAATTTGGGGATATTTGGAAGGATGTTAAAGCGAATTATACCAAAGGAGAAACGGTTGAAGTCGAATTCGTTGGTGGTCACCCTAAAAATGTCATTCAATTAGAAGGTAGTTTCCTTTACGTACAAAGACTTGAAGGTGAAAAATGGATAAACGTTAAAAATGATGGTGATTGGACCACAAAGTTTAAATGGTTAGGTCAAAGCATTATTAGGATTATTTGGGATATTGACAATGGTACTATAGGTGGGTAATCTTGAAAAAAAAATGAAAAAAAATGATCTTGATTTTTAACCCTTCTTCATTCTCTTGGATTTGCAGATGGAACTTATCGTATATTTTATCAAGGCTATCATAAATTACTTGGCGGTAACATTAAACCCGTATCTGGCACCTCTTCTACTTTCACGGTATCTTAAAAAAGGGTAATTAATTAGGATGAATTAACATCATAATATACGAATTTTGCTATAAGAGAATTTTATTAAAAATTATAATGGTGAAAATTTCGTTATGTAATAATATACATAAATGTATTTTAATTAAACAATTTCATACGATTTGTAAATCTTTATTTCAAAATAAACAATAAAAAGGTTGATATAATGAACTGTCAAATATAGTAAATAAATTTTGTACATAAATGCATTTCTCGTCGTAACTATGATACTCACTCTGGAGCATAAACGATCGAGAAATCTTCAACCCGAATAAAAAGGGTTGTAATCGTATTATTTTCTAATGAATTCTCGAGGCAAGAATACATTCAGATATTAATCCAAGGAAAAATTTAGTTCAGCAAAGAATCTATATTAATTAAAAAATTCTACCTTTCTTAATATTATGGAGTTCATTAACTAAATATGGAAATGATCGGATGTAGTCATTGACGCATAACAAAATTTTATATTATTTATTTAGTTTATACAGTTTAAAACGATTAATTCTTTAATATATACCCGAAAACAATTAGAATCGTACTTCAGAATTTCATCTTTTGAAAACCGAAATGTAGATGAAATGTCGTGTTTGGGATTGAAACTATTAATGGAAATTTGGGAAACATAATTAATATTATATTAAAATAAGTAGAACTAAGCTATGTATGAAAAGAATTACAGATTTTCTGTTTTCTGATGTTCATATTCAAAAGTGACAAAATAACATCACTTTTCATAATCGATTTTTGTTTTTAATCGGGGAATGAGAAACCTTATCAAGAAAGATTTTAAATGAATTTTAAATCTGAAAATTTGAGAGAAATCAACCAATACTGAATTATCTTGTATTATCCAATATTAATGAAATAATGTTATCTGCTTGCATATACTTGCATGTTTCATTATGAGTCCTCTTTTTAGAAACTTCCCCAATTATTGATTTGTAACATAAATCACGTGATAAGCAATCATTTTGAACTATCGGAATTTGGTTTATTCCGATAGTTTTGTATTACCTTCAAAAGAAAGATAAAACCGTGAGAAGATTTTCTCCGTATTTTGGAATCGTATAAAAGAGGTCATATTTTTTTCTTTCGAGTTTTCAACGTTAAAAAAAAAAAAATTTTTTTTTGATTCTTTTCTATAAACTGTTAATAAACATTATGGACAAAATTTTTTGGGTAACCCTCGTATTAAATATATTCCTCTTTACGTTCCTTACGACTTCATTTTATTTGTTATTTTCACCAACAGCTCTATCACCGCCTATCAAAGAGGAAAGGTTCTGGAATTTAACAATTATTCATACAAATGATGTACATTCTCGTTATGACCAAATTAATTCTGCTGCTACTGATTGTACCAAAATACAATTTGAAGCAGGAAAATGTTATGGTGGTACGGCCAGACATAAAACTTTGATTGATAGGCTGAGAAGTGAAAGTAAAAATTCACTATTATTGGATGCCGGTGATCAATTCCAAGGTGAGGAAAAAATATTTTGATGTTTTAATTAATTAATGTCGATTAAACTTTATTCGTTTTTTAAATTAGGAACGATGTTCTTTACATATTATGGTGTATGTAAATTTTTTTTTTTTTTGAATTGTATCTTGTTCTTTTCACTTATTTAGTTTTTTTTTTTTTTACTCAGGGTGAAGTTAATTCCAAAGTTTTAGTAAGTTAATTTTTAAGCCTACCAGAATTATGTCATATTTGGGCGCTGTAGAATTAACTGATTTCAAAATTTTTTTTGGCTGTAAATTTAATAATAAAAAAAAGAATTTACTCGGATATAATGTTACGGTAAGCAAAATATTTAAAGTATTAACTCCAATATTTACCCACCCTTGGTTAATTAATTTCTTTTTAATCCAGGCCATTGGAAATCATGAATTTGATAAGGGTCCAGATGTTCTTGCAGCCCATCATTCACGTTTGACCATGCCAATCGTTTGTGCAAACATTAATACGACCTTAAATCCTACATTCCGCAAAAACATAAAGCCATATCACATCTTTAAAGAATACGATCTTGCTGTTATCGGTTACATTACTGACGTAAGTATCCGTGTCGTGATATATATAAACTACAATTAATTTTCTAAAAGATATAGTTTCTTTACGAATAGACTACAGGAGGTATCTCAAATGCTGGTTCTACCTTAAGTTTCTATGACCCTATCCCAATCGTTCAATATTATGTTAATCAACTTCGCGAAAAGGGAATTAAAAGAATCTTGACCATTTCCCATAATGGGTACGGTCCTGATAAGGAACTTGCTGCTAAAACTTATGGAGTTGCTGTTCATATTGGTGGTCATAGTCATAGCCTTTTAGCGAATGATACAACTTTGCCAGACTATGATCTTGCTTTAGGACCATATCCAACTGTCATAAGAAATGCTTTGGGTGAAGATACTTTAATCGTTCAAGTAAGTTGATTATTATGATTTCTTTTTAAGGTGAAATTATTTGATTTACCTTTTAAATTTTTATCAGGCGTTCTGGTCTGGAAAATATATCGGTCACCTTGACGTTTCTTTTGATAAGAAAGGAAGAGTTGTGAACTATACGGGAGGACCGATTTTAGTTGATCAATCAATACCTCAAGACCCTGAAGTTCAAAAACTTGTAAAGCAATGGCGTGAACCTTTCGATAAATATGTTAAAATGGTTATAGGAGAAGCCGAAGACGATTACGATCAATTAAATTGTCAGCGAGGAGAATGTACTATGGGAAATTTAATCACTGATGCGATGCTAGAATCAAGAAATAATAGTGATGTTCATGCGGCTTTTATGAATGCAGGCGGAATTAGAGCTGGGTTACTAAAAGGAAATATAACTCGAGAGAATGTTGTTACCGTTCTTCCATTTGACAATTCCTTGGTGGAAATTAAAATGACTGGACAAAATGTTACGGACATGTTAGAAAGCGTCGTTAGTCGATGGGAAAATAAATTATCCCGAAAGAAAATCACTAGTTTTATACAAGTTTCAGGAATTAGATTTAAATATGATTCTTCTAGGATGTTCTTTGATAGAGTGTTCGAAGTTAAAATTAGAAATCCAGAATCTAGAAAATTCGAATCTTTAGACTTAAGTAAGACTTATAAACTTTTGACCAATGAATTTGTTTCAAATACAGGTGATGGGTAAATATCAAACTTTTTTTTTTTTTTTTTTTATATGTTTAAAAAAAAAGGCATGAAATTCATTTTACATTCGAAATGTATTTTATAGAATACTCCCATATCCAATCGAAACGGTTCCACTTGGAAATGTAGAAGTTGCAGTCGAAGATTATATTAAAAGTCAATACATTATCAAACCTTACTTGGATGGCCGTATAGAAGATTATTCTCTCATACATGAAGAAATTAAACCAATTGATATAAATGAACCGATACATTTTCGTTATCAATTATGAAGCATCAATACGCAATTCAAAGAAGCAAGGAGGTTAAAATCAATTCTTTTTTTTTTTTCTTTTTTCCAAAGGATTTTTTTAACAGTATATAGATATGAAAAAAAATATTTTTTCTTGTATATTTTGTAAAATATTTCGATTATTTAATTAAAACCAATGAAGAATTATCCTGAAATTTAAAATGACTTCAAATTTTTATTATTTATTTGCTTCGTTTCGTTTACTTTTCAGCTGCTGACTGCTGTTGAAGAAGAAATTGAATTCTTCTGCACAAAGAATAATACGCTTACACATCATTTAATATATGGCCAACCAAAAAATTTTAAGAAATAACTTATCCTCACTTATGAATGCTTTTTTTGTAATATAAATAACATTGAAATGAATATTTTATATGGAAGAACTAGCGAGATTTTTTGCGATCATAAATCTAATTTAGGCTGAAAATTTAATTTCGAACAGAATTAAAAAAATCAACCGGTTAAAGATGATAATGTTTAGGATCAATCCTGATGATGAGAAATTTTTTTTTTGATGACTTCTAAATTATTAATTATTTTTTGCGTTTTGTCCTACATAATGCTTATACTGTAATTATCATACATTGATTCATTTTTCAATTGTTAGGAACGCTACTGAAGCAGGTTCAAAGTAGCAACTAAAGATTGAAAAATCACCTAAACGTCCTAGCAATCTTGTTACAGATTGATTATTTAGAATTTCATTAATCATCGCAAACCTATACTTGAGGCTTTATTATTTAACATGTGTGGGTGTTTTATGGTCGGGAAAAATAAGGTTTTTAATATATCATGATCAATATTGCTGATTATTAATTTAAGAGCATTAGAAATTTTTCTTAGCAAAAGTGATCGAAAAATAGATAAGGCATACAACAGTATTTTGTAAATTTTTTGCGTAAAATTTTTTCATATCAAGTTTTTTATTAATAAATTTAAAACAAATAAATTGTTCAAAAAAAAAAAAATATTTAATCAACTTAATCAAAGGTATAACTGCGTAAACTTTACTAGCTTCACTGTTTCCTCAGTTTTCGGCAATACAGACAGGGACTGTCATAAATTGATATAAATATTTTTTTTAAAACAAAATATTAATTAATCTACTTGCTAATCATAAAAAAATAAAGAAATTTCTCGTTTAATTCCTTGATTTTAATATTTCCTCTCAATACTATTAATTTACACGAATTATCAGTTATGTTAATATAATAAAGAAATACATTATATTAATCTTTTTGGAATTATAATAACCTACATTTCTTCTTCCATGAGATCTACCGATGCTAGCTTATTTTCTAATCTACCTAAGTGTCATCAAGTATGTGTTGCTTGTGGGTAGCTGTTATTCTGAGTATGTGTATCTGCGGGTGGCTGTCATCAATACTCTTTACTGTTAGTATGTGTTTCTGCGAGTGGCTGTTATTAATCTTTGAGTTGGGGTGGATGTTGTTACGGGTCCAAATGGAAGGTATTACTTATAAAAAATAAAGAAAAAGGAAAAATATAAGAAGGTTTACGACATCTAAAAACAGGTAAATATAAGGGGTGTTTTGGTACCTAGTTACCATTTATCCAACAATTACTGTCTAGGTCCTTCATTGAGGATAAAGAAAAATAAATTGAGAATGAATGCATACTAAATGCATTCAATTTTATTTTATATATAGTTGCCTGACGAAACATATTTTGGATTTGTCAAAACGTCTAAACCTCTAGTTTCGACAGGTTTTTAATAAATATAATTTCGACCGTTTAATATAGCTTGGCAGGTTTCGACGGGTTTCGACAGGTTTCGACAGGTTAGTTTATATTTTCATTAAGGTTTTAATTCGACAGTCTGTCTAAACCCAGGAGTTTCGTCAGGCAAATATAAAATATGAAAAATGAAAAATGTGAAATTGTGGGATTCAAAGATCCTCATGATCTTCATTATCGAACACTAATTATGGAAAAGATTAGCTACGCCTGAATTCGCTAATTTTCGAGAACAATAGTAACATATTGATTATCGATTACATAAATGAAATATTTTTATTATAGTTTGAATTAATATGTTGCAATTCGTAAAATCGAATTTGAAAATACTCCCAAAATTCGATTTTGCACTAGTGATAGTATAATTAAAGGACTTATCTTTTAAAAAAAAAAGGGCATTATTACAGCAAAAAATTGGGTTCAGTAACTCAGAAATCATAAATATTATAGGATGTCGTTATACAATTGTTATTTGGTTTCTTTTGCAAGAGAAACATCCAAAAAGTCAAATATCGAATCTTATAGCGAAGCTTAGTACATGCGAAAAATTGAAAAGTAAAGTGTTTTTAAATTTTCGATCTTACACCTTACAATGCTTAATTTTAACAATTATTTAAATATTTTATTAAGCATAAGCTAACCAATATGTTACTAAAAAATATGGCTTAGTTACATATGATAAATTAACTAAAATATCTAAATCAAAACTGTGCAATACTTTTTCCTCCCCCGGTACTGATCTAAAACATTCAAATACAGGTTAATATGATATTAAATAACATTTATGATAACAAAATTTACATCACCCTCTTCTTTTGATGTGTTCGAGTTAATCCACTGGATTCAGTTCATAAAGTTGAATTTTATCATTATTGGTTTCCCCTTCTTTAGACACGAAATTTGCTGATTTAGAACTTGATGATGTTTTGTCGTCAGCGTTTCCTTCATTTGTTTTAGCCTGTCACATAGCATCAAATAAAAATATTTTGAGAGAATTCACGTAAACAACGCCTCATCCTCATCATAGTTTCTTACCTTCTTAATGAAAACAAGATCCAATTCTTTTGGATTCTGTAGAAATTATAAGAAGTCATTAAAAATATAAAATTCAAAGTTACATTTTTATACAAAAAACTTTGTTAATATGTTCAAACCTTTTTTGATGGTTATTTCTTTTTCATTTTTGTTTAATTAATGGATCGGCTGTAGGAAACAGACCCAATTTGTATATCGGCACAAGATGAAAATATTAGACAGTTTCTCGAATCAATATTTTTAAGAAAAATCGACGTTTTTGCTTAAAATTTCCCAGTATTCTGACACACTTTAATCAAATTTGGAACAGCGACTCAGCCACAGCTCAGTCATTGGAGTCAGTTTTTGTAGAGTCGACTCAGTCGTCGACTCAGACTCCAACGGCTGGTATGATATTAAGTGTGCCAATTTTTTTTTATCTAATCATATGTCGTTGATATTTTTCCGTTCAAACATCAGTGAAGTGGATTCACACCAGGTAAATTAGAAACGACTTGTGAAGTGAATGATCATTCATTTCAAAAATGACAAATAATCTGAGTACGTTAGTGGAATTATTCTTCGTGATAATGATTGGTATTATTAGTGAAATAAATTCATTCATTTTTCATTTATTTATTTATTTATTTTTTTTAGATGTAATTCATTTTTCATTTATTTTATCGAGGTCTATAGTGAAGTAATAATAATTATATGAAAATGAATTAATTATGAAAAAAAAAGTCGTTGAAATTTATAATTATACAAATAAATTGTGTTAATAAAGAGTGACCACTATACTATGTATTTATAATATTAACATATAACGTATCGATATTCTGAATCGTTTGAATTACAAAATGTTAACAACACTTCTGGTTATTATTCAATTATACAGCAGCAAAAATATTGTCATATAACACATGATTTTATCAATTACCATCTGTTTTTTACTCTACGATAATTTCATGTATTATTGTGATTTAGGAAAATTGATTGGAAGTTCCAAATTCTGAACAATTAAATCTTTCGATTTCAAACCAACTTGTCGTCTTCTCCTTCCTTCAATCAATTTTATTGATTCGTGATACGTTTTTGGCATAATTTTACGTACTGAGTTATCACTACTAAAAGTGAAATGAAAAATATTTGTCATGTCGCGAGTTTCTTGTTCAATGTCTAATACATCCGCAGTCACCTTTTATTTTTTTTTTAAAAAAGTGAATATTTAAAAAAAAAGCTTTTTTTTTTAAAAAAAAAAAAATCATGTAATTTATAAACTTACCGCAACTTGAAAGCTATAATGTGGTGAACCGGACGCATAAACTATTTGTGATGTCATGATAAGAATTGAACCAATTTGAACGGGTTTTCTAAATGATATTTCATCTAAAGCCAAAAATTTCAGTCGACTTTTCAAAAATACCGATGCATTAGAGAATGCGAGCTGTAAAAAAAAAATAGATTGGTTTTTATTTAATAAAAATAAAAAAAAAGAAAGATTTATTTACCTCAAATGCTAGTTTCATTAAGTATCCACCAAATACGAAGCCATGTATATTTCTTTTCTAAGAAAGAAAGAGAGATTTGGTTAAATGAAATGTTAATTTATATTCGGAACAGAAAAATATACAGATAATGTAACCTGCGGTTGCATCAATGTAGCCGATTCCATGATTGTTTCATCTATCCATTTAATATTTTCTGGCGTTTTTTCTTTTTATTCTAGAACTTTTTATTTTTAGAATAAATAAATAAATAAATAAAACAATTTATTGATTTCATTAAAAGAATTCGATGAATCTTAAAATATTTATTTACCAGCATACTTGCAATATTCGAGATAACAATCATGGATGATAAGTTTTTCTTCTTCTGTTGGAGGTAATTTTGAAAGAGCCGTAGCAGCAGATTTAAGTCTTCTAAACTTTTGCTCTAATTAAAAGCAAGTGACTTATTTGGGTTTTTAAAAATATGTATTTATCTATTCAATATATACATTTTCTTACCTTCAGTTATTTGAAACAATTTCTTTTGATTATCATTTTCTAATTAAAGAGGATTTACTTGGACGGAACGACCTGTAAATAGATCTTTTGCTACCATAATAACTCTTGCCATCATTAACGTGTCACCTTTTATATGATCATCAGTGGAAATTTCATCTTTTAAAGCTTCTATCTTTATTAACGCTAAATTAAATGAATAAAAAAATAAATCAATTTATTCAAATATTTATTTATTTATTTATTTTCTAGGGGTCAAGGTACCTTCCATGGAACTATAACCAACATAAGTTATATGACCTGTGATAATATAAAATGGTTAATAACTAGGTTTATTACAAAAAAGAAAGAAACTTGTTTGTAAATACGTACCACTAAGTCTTATGTCGCTTATAGATAAGGGTTTAATTAAGTCTAATCTATCAAGTGAAGCTGTCACAATAGTTAAATCAGAATATTGTTCCTTTTCAATAGTACAGTGTTTATAAGCAATTTGTACTGCTAACACATCCAAGTTTTCAAATATTTTTCCAATTCTTTTTTTTTTTTGACAAAATATTTTATTGTTATGATTCGACTAAAAGAAAGGTTTTTACACTTTATTATAGAAAATTTTACCTGATACTACCATATAGATTTACATATTCTTCCAATAATTCAGTATCACTTTTAAATGGTAAAATTTCTTTTATATAAGAATCCGTCATTTTTCTTGCTTTCAATTCCCTTTTAGGAATTTTTCCGGTATTGTCATTAGAATTCCCTAGGGGAATTGTTGATTTTGCTTTAACACGATTGATTAAATCATCTATCCAATAAGTTTTTTTAAATGAATTCATTTTGGCTGTAATGCCCACTATGGGTTTCTCTGATTAAAACATTGATAATATTGGGATATTAGAAAAATTATAAAAATAATATTCTTTCAACATACAATTTATGTGTATACCTTTACTTATCACTGAATTTTCAAATGTATCATATTTTTGGTTAATAGGTGAAAGAATTTGAAATCGTCTTTTAAGTAATGATTGTTTAGCATAAATTGGAATTCTTGTAATCAAGGAAGATTTAGAAATAAACTTATTATAAAACATATTCGAAATATTTTCGGATTTTCCAGGGTATGGGTTAATAAGCGTTGGCTTTTATTCATTCAATCGTAACACAATCAATATTCAAGAGGATAAAATGTTTCATGTGAGTGAAACAAACAAACATGGTTTTTAATCATCCTTAATATAAAAGCATTAAAACATAATTTGTGAAAAGTAATTTTTTATATATGATTATCACATTTGATATATTGTGACGCAGCTTGAATATTTTACTTCGGAAACTAAAAAAAAAATACTTAAATATCCATAAACCAGCTTCGCTTGTAACTGCAGTCCAATGCATATTTTTTTTTGTCTCACAAGCACAAATAATTTCTACACCTTCTTCTCCAAGCTCAATAATGGAAGAATGTCAACTCGAACAATGGCAGACATTATTAAAGATCTTGACACAGAGGAGCAGCAGCTCATTGAATATTTGAAGAAAAAGATTTGAAACTCAAGGAGCCTCACTTTAAATTCACGTAAGAAAGAAATTACTGATTTTAAATTTATGCAAGAAAGTAATTACTGATTTTGCTTTTCTGAAGAAAAATTTTGCGGTCTTGTAAGTTTACAAAGAGGAAAATTACCGTAATACAAAACTATGAATAAATTAAAGGAATTGCTTCGTAAATTTAAGGACAATGGCGAGGCATCAAGCAATTTTCTCCTGTTGGTGATTTTTCTGGGAAGACTTCTCACAAATTTCATAGTATAATAATAAATATTACATTATATAATGCTGTATTACACCGAATAATTCGTTATATGCACAGATAAATCGATTTATTCTGTGTGCAATAAATCACATTTTGGAATTATCCACAAATAGATATGTCACTGTGATCAGAGAATATTCTTGGTGATAAACCGCCAAGGTATTACTAATTACAAATCATAATAAAGACCCCTCTAAATTTCACTTTTAAAGGGGGGTGGGGGTGAGGGGAAGTATATTACAGTATCTATTTTATCGAACCCAAAATTGACGACGTCAGTATAATATTGATCCATTAACTTGAGTATTCTTTGATTGATCATCGTCGAATAAATACTTGAGTTGTTGAATATTATCAGAATCAATTTGAACGAGGGGTGCCAACAAGTTTCCAATAGGCAGGTTTTTTGACCAATAGGTGTTGCGGCATGTGTACATTCACAGAATACGAGTAGGAATAAAGTTAGCAAGTAGGAGTATTTGCTCTTTTGACCAATAATCGGCGAATTTTTTAGGCAAGGCATTTAGGAGAAATACTTTCTGTTATTTTTTTTTAATTAACACGTGCTAAACTTATTTGTATTAGAAATTAGAAATAATCACTAAATTGAAATTGTCTGAAATTGGTCAATTTCAAATACAAAAATCATCTTTTTGAAACTGATCTTTGCAATTTGCAATATTATTAAAGCTTGTCTAAATAAAAATTACTTATGTAACCACCAACGCATGTATAAATAGTTTAATTTGTGTAATTATTGTATAATATATAATCTGATAATAATATAATCTTATCTCAGCTAATATTAATAAAAGAGGATACATAATTAAAGTTATATCCTAGATACATTTTAAGGATGATATTAATAAAATCATTTAAATCACATGATCTTTCATTATTCTTTAGATTATAAAATTTATAGACCAATTTGCCTATTTATTTATTATAAATTTCTTCTGTTTTACTTTATAACTTTTCTTAATAAAGTAATTAGATTTTATAATAAATCTTTTTAAATTAAATTATTTTAAAAATCTTCTTTATTAATACTTAAATATCTACAAATAAAATAGATATAATAGTATTAGGATATTAAAATTTTTCAAATTTATATTTGAGTTTTTATTTTATTTATAGAGTTATAAGCAATTTATTTATTAATATTTTTATTTTATTTGAAAATATTTTGGCTTAAATATCATATTTGATATATAAAATTAAAATTGATTTTTTCTGATAGCTTTTCTTCTTTTTATTGCAAAGGTTTTACTATTTTATTAATTAAATTTTAAAATTCTTTTGTTTTATTAATAAATTTTATTTTATTTATATTATAAAATATTATCAAAAATCAGTCTTGTCAAATGGATTTAAAATAATCATAATAATGTAAATAGCTTTAAATAAATTTAATATAAATTTCAAATTAAAATGATTAAAATTATTTAAAATTATGGTTTATTATTATAATATAAAATTATATATTGAAATCTTTTTTAAGAATTATTAATTATTATATAACTTATTTTTTTATTTTTTAATCTTTTTATTATTTGTTATTTAAAATTTAATATTTAAATAATTAATTAATCTTTAATTGGATTTAGAATATTTTATTATTTGATTTAAATTTAGTTAAATTAAAGTTTAATGATATATATAATTTACTAATATATTTTTTTTTAACATTTAAAAATATATTTTTAAAATAAATTTTACTAATATAGAGATTTTGCAGTAAAAAGAGTAGATATTACTCTGAAAATAAAAAAAGAGATTTAGTCAGATTTGGATAATTTTTGGTATTTTTAATTATAAATAAAAATCAATTTATATAGTAAAAAATCAAGAAAATATTACACTAAAAAAAATTAGCATTTAAAAATAATATAAGTCAATCTTATTAATTAAGTAGAGAGAAAATCAGCATCTAAAAATATATTTTATTTTCTTTGTAATAGAAAGGACACTAACTTTAATTTTTATCTTAATAAAATATAAAATATAAAAAAAAAAAAATACTATTTTTTGAATATTTTTTATGTATTAAAATATAATTTTTTATATGTATTTTTTCATATTAAAGAAACAATAAAAGAATTATTTTGATAGAACAATATAAGGTCATTCTAAAGGAATGATATTTTATCGTTCTTTTAGAATAATGCAATATTTTATCATTTTATCAGAATGTCTTTTATTGTTTCTTTATAACAAAATTTTTATTATTCTATTAAAATAATAGTTTTTATCATTTCTTTAGAATAATTCTTCTATTATTCTATTAGAATAATTTTTTTATTATTCCTTTAAAATTCTATTTAAAAATAAATATTTTTAAATTACAAAAATAATATTAAATTTAAATAAGATAATATATATAATATTAATAGAAAAGACCAGTAAATTTATTTTTAATTCTGATATATTTTTATTTCTGTGGATTGTTGATCTTTTTATATATGATCAAACATTTAAATTCAATTATCTTAAAATTGGATTTATTAGAGTTACAATCCTTTTTATTATAAAGTATTATATATTTTAATGAAAAAATAACTTTTTAATTAATATATTTTTATTTATTTTATTCTAAATAATTTACTTAATAAATTTTAATATGTAAATAAAATAATAAGTAATTTTTTTATTTAATAATTTAATCATAAAAAATTAATATATTTCTATTTAAATAAAAAAATTTAATAGTTTAATAATAAATAATACAATAATAATTTTTGAAAATAATACAATGAACTAGGATTTCCATTTGAAAATAGAATATGATATTTGTTTGTCAAATAAAAAAAATCAAATATTTGAAATTGATTGATTGATTTTAAATATTCGAAACCATTTCAAACATTAAAAATCATTTCAGATATCGAATTGATTTTGAATATTAAAAATTATTTTAAATATCAAAATTGATTTTAAATATTAATTTTAATTTTACTTTTTTTATAATTTTATTTTATTTTATTTTTAGATTAGTTTAAAAAACTTTTTTTTAAATTATAGGAGGGTTTCTTCAGAGTGTGGGTTTTTTCTCTTTACTAATTTTCTTTTTGCTTCTTTTTTTAGAAATGGATCTTTTGTTCTTTTAGGTAAGCCTTCTTTTTTTATGATAGGTTCTTTGGGGTTTCTTTAGGATTTCTTTAGGGGTTTCTTTCTTCTCTTTACTAATTTTTATTTCTTTTATTTAGGAACAGATCTTCATTCTTTTTGGATAGGTAAGTCTTTTTGGATTATTTCTTTAGGTTTCTTTGAAGTTTCTTTAGGATTTTTTTCTTCTCTTTACTATTTTTATTTAGAAACAGATTTTTCGTTCTTTTGGAATAAGTAAGGCTTCTTAAATTATTTTTTTGGAGTTTTTTGAGATTTCTTACTGATTTTACATCTTTTTTTTTTAGGAATGAATCCTTTATTCTTTTGGGATAGGTAAGTCTTCTTGGTTTTTTTTTGGGAGATTTCTTTAGAGTTAAGTTTCTTTACTAATTTTTTTTATTTTTAGGAATAAAAATAATTTTGTATGTTGAATGATAATTTTTTATTTTATTTTGATATATAAAAAAGTATTTTTTTTTTTGTGTTTTTTTGAAGTAATTTTTTGAATAAAGTAGGTTTTCAAAATTTTTTTTAAATTTTTTTAAGGTTGGAATTTTTTTTTCATAAATATATATTTTTTTTTTCTTCAAATAAATTAAGTTTTACAAAGTTCTTTTAGAAAAATTGTCAAAAAAATGTTATAAATTTATTTTTTTAAAAATTTATAAAACAATTCGTTACTAGTCAAATAAATTATAAAATGATCATCAAAAAAATTTTTCACCATTACATCATTATGCATTTTTAAAAAAAATTACATAGTAAAAGACAATAATTTTATTTTAAACTCAAATATTTTTTTTTCATTGCCATTATAATTTTTTTTTTATTTTTCACAAAAAAAATAATGGATAAATTTGAAAACATTAAAATTTTAGATGATAATTCTAAAGAAACTTCTAATAGACTTGTAAAAAACCTAAGCTTAATAAAAGAAGACCAAAACAAAGTTTTGTTTAGAATTATTTTAACATTATAGATGATTTTAATTATTGTTAAGTAGATGTATCAATTTCAATTAAAAATCCAGAAGGTATATATAATTATAAAGTAAAGAATGGATTATCAACTACAAATATAATTAATTATTTATCTAAAGTACATAAAATTTATAATCCTACAGAAGAAGAAAAAGGTAAATAAATATATATATTTTATTTAAAAATTAAA